TGGATGGATAGTCTTGTGCCAGGGATCATCTTGCTGGGCCTTGCCAGCAGCTCCTCAAGTGCACTCTGGTGATCCAGCAGAGCCATTCACAGTAATCAAGCAACCAGAAGAGCCTTTGAGCTTTGTCTTTGCTACCAATGAATTCAACTCAATTTGTTCAGGGTGATGTGGGGGAAGAGGAAATGCTCAAAGCAAACAGGCAGGTGCTGGAAATACAGCATAGGCTACAAGAAACTACAAAGATAACTTTTACCCTCATGGGTGTTTATGATTTCATTGAAATTGTAATGATCAGTAGATCAATTTGCAGAATTATAGCAAAGAAATGCTTTTTTTTTTTTTTTTTTACACCTATGTCAAATTGATAATTATGAAAAACAAGTTCAATCAATTCATTTACAGGCCAGAATGTATTGGCATGATCTTCAACACCTCACAACTGTCCTACAGCTGTATCTGACAAGCCTGGAGCATGCTGCCTTTTTTCCTCAATTTGAGCTTCTAAGCAGCATGGAAAAGCACTGCCTACTAAATATAGATTAAGTTATAAAATTAATGAAAGGTGAGACACAAAGTTAGAAAATTCTTTTCCAAATGCTAGGGGGTTCTATGAATAAAAGGGCACTGATGATGAAAGGTGTGTGGGTTTTTTGCACAAAACATATTCAAGTATTATGAGATTTGCTGTATTCTGGTCTATTCTGTGGAAAGCAGAAATAAAAATTTGATAAAATATAAAGCAATCTGTAGAAGATGCTTTATCAAACCTAAAGAAAATTGCTCTATTACTCAGAAAACAGACTGCTGAAGAATTTTATGTAGTGACAGAATCTTGTTTGACGTGTTTATTTGCTATTATTTCTGTGTTAAAGCTGTCATGCACCTACAAACTAGCTGAAGCATGCAATATTAGCCCTCTACTGGAATGCTTCCAAATGGGCTTTAGAAAATAACTGGGCCCATTTTTAGCTTAGCAACCATAAAACAGCAAGACAGAAAGCAAAAGCAGCTATATAATTTAGGAAATAAAAGGACTTTGAAAGAAAATGAAAAATGCAAACCATTTGCTCAGTACAACTTATGCAGTAAAAGTTCTTTTATCAGAATTTATTTTAATATGACAAAAACAGTATTAGAACACCACGGCTTCAATGTTTTACACTTACAAGTTAGGAAGTTCTAGACTTGAAATTATTCATCAGCACTATGACAGTCTTCATCTAAGTATCAAAATAGTTGGGGTTTTTTCCTTGCAGGATAAGATTTACTCCCTCTGCAGATAGCTTTGGAGCACTGCTTTTTATTTTCAGTCGTTCAAGTAGTTCACCTCAATGGATTATTTTCTTCCTTCTAAACAAATTCACCAGACTGAATAAAGAATACTTTTTAATTTTTCTTGGGGTTTTTTTTTGTTTGTTTTTTGGGTTTTTTTGTTGTTGTTGTTTTTTGTTGGTTTTTTTTGTGGGGGAAAGTGTTTAAATTATATTTTTCTTGTAGCATCTTGAACCTAGAAAGGATTAAGAGTCCTGAGTATTGCCTAATTCCCACTTGAATCACCTACTTCTTATCTCTGATCCTCAAGATTCGGGCTGGCTGTTAAAATATCCCAAAAACCAAAAATGCATACATATACATATACATATACATATACATATACATATACATATACATATACATATACATATACATAGACATATACATATACATATACATAGACATAGACATAGACATAGACATAGACATAGACATAGACATATACATATACATATACATATACATATACATATACATTAGACATATATGCATATGTATAGGATATCTATTATACATATACATATATATATATATATATGTGTGTGTATGAATGCATTTCTGGTTTTCAGGATATCTTTGACACTGAAGTTTCTCCAGACCTGGAAATTCTGTTCTGGAGAGCATAAATGACTTCCCAGCCTTGCACAGTCTGAAGCAGACAGACTTCTATTCTCCTTGAAGCCACAAAGAAAGCACTTCCTAACAGGTTACCTTAGCTAGGACACTTGGTAGTTAGGTTTACATCAAACCTAACATCAGACAGCAAAATCAGCTGCTGCTTTTCACACCTGTGATGTGGCCTCTCTTCTCTCCACCCCTCCCCCTGCTACAGCAGCTGAATGATTAGAGAATGTGCACAGATTTCTGTGAGAGAGCCAAACCTGACTCTATTCCAGGCGAAGGATGAACATGATTTCCTGAGGTAGTGATTAAAGCAAGCCCTGAGCCAGGGGGTGGATTGTAGATAACTGGGCCCTGTCTTTTTCAAAGGATAACTTTACCCTTCCAACAAGTTATTTTAAAGTGTAAAATAAATGAAGTTTTCTGAGAAAAAGGGCAGATGTGGCTTCCCAGCATTTGAACCAGTAACTTTTTGTTGCGTTAGAGAAACTGACTGTTCTCTCTTTTTTCACTCAGTGAACATATAATACTTCAAAACATAATGGAAACCATTGTGATAGAAGTCAAAGGAAGGAGAGAACATTGGAGATGTAGATCTGAACATGCCATCTATGTCCCTTTGAAGGCATGGCTTTTATCACCTGGTATTAATTTGCTGTATGATAGATACCTTGGAGCCTCTTCTACTGAAACTTTCATTATATATAAAAAGAACTGGGGATTTTCTGAGGCAGAAGAAGAGACTATTCGTAAATCTTTAATGCTTTAAAAAAGGGCATGTTAAAATATAGTACATCTTCAATTTTTCTTGGTGCACATTTTTGATGTTTACAATTTCATTGAAAGCTGATTCCTATTCACATAGCATGTTTTTTTTTTCCAGGGTTACAGATCAGGGCACTGAAGTCTTCCTATGGCACTAGGCCAAGCCTTGTTACAAGTATTAATTTCTTTGCACAAATCACTTGTGAATTGAGATGGCATTATTAGTTACGTTTTACATATCAGGTACTAAAAACAAAATGGCCAAAGGAGCAAGGTAGTTTGACATCCTCAGGGACATAACTTAATTGCTTTTTAATGCTGAGAAAACAGCTGTCATTAATCTCACTTGTGCAAGAATGTAGCAGAATCAAATACTTGGAGTTAGGAACCCACAAACTCAAAACTACACACACTAAGCATTTTATATTGAGAGATTTACCCATTATCAGGAAACGTATTGTTTAAGGAGTTCAAATCTTTCCTAAGTGTTATTCAGCTCCTTTAGGATGGTCTTTTCTATTTCCATAATTCCCTCCCAAACAGCTTTGTACTTTGCTGAGAGTTACTACAATTGTTACCCTCCAGGGAAGACAAAGTCTGATTGTACAGTTTCATTCTCGCAAGCATGCTTTTCACTTTATGAGGTAAATAATAGACCACGGAATTTTAGAACCATTATCAAAATTAAAAATTAGGAAATCTGAATTGTTATTAAAAAAGAAAATCAGGATAAAACATTAATTATGGGATGCTGACATAGGTTAAAACAACCAAGAGTTTTGCTATTGTATCATAAGAATACCATTATAAATATGGATGGATGCAAATTATGTACAATTAATTTTAGATCTCCCTAGCCTCCACATATGTCAAAGAAAGAACCGAGTTCGCTGCATTCCATTTATGTACTCTTGCCTTGTGGTCAACAGATTGAACATTAATTAAGGGAAAAAATCAAATTCTGGTCTCTGCTTTTACATCTTTGGTTCTAGTAGTGCTAACATAACTAAAGGGATTCAACAGGTTTTGGAAAATTAAATTTAGATACACAAATTTGGTGATAATTCAAAAATCATTAGTTCCTATTTAGTCAATTTTCATGAGACTAATTAAATGCATAAAGTTGCTCATGTGCCAGCATTCTTGAAGAACCTGACCACACATGTAGCAGTAAAATTTTACAAATATAAATATGAGCCAGCTTGAAAACCTGAATCACCAGTAATGATAACCTTACTTCCAGAAAAAAAGGCTATGCAGAACAAATGCAAGCAATAGGTGTAAACAGATTTAACCTGCTAATTTATAGGGATAATTTATAACTTTGAATTCTAAATGGTACCTTGAAAGACTCCTCGTCTGCAGGGAGATATACTCAAAGTGTAAGCAGCAGTGTCCTCTGGGTTGACAGCCAGATCAGGGGCACCACTCAGCATTGAGAGATTGGAATACACCTGGGGAAGACAAATCGCAAAGAGGAAAACTCATCAAAAGCAAGTAACTGTTGCAAGAACATCATCAAGACAGTGTCCATTCTACCTGCTTTGAAGAGTAGAATAGAAAATATGGTATCAGTAAGTCCTAAATTTTATGCAAATGAAAGAATACACACCATAAGAGAAATGCTGGTATAATACAGATCATATCAAGGACAAATTTTTAAGTCATTGCTGAACATGATCAAAACTTCTGATCAGACCCTTGAACTGCTTACATATTGCATAGATTTGCACAGTTAGGCCCTTAATATTTTACATACATTTTCATTAGAAATTTAACAAAGAGGTTCAGCAGTACTGATCCATTTAAATAGACAGAGCAAAGCAAAATCTGAAGTGTCATTATAACATCATTTGCTACACCTCAAGTGATATTAAACTGTGCTTTTGATATGTCATATTCTGTAAATGACACATATACACAGCATGCACGGTAACTATCAGGGCAATGGAGAGACCAGTACAATTTTCACATGTGGAACTTTTAGATTTTTTTTTTCCACATGTGGAATTTTAGATTTTCTCATTGGGAGAATATAGGGCGTGTATTTTTTAATTGTATCTCATTTCTTTCTCTCTTTTACAGGGTTGCTGCAGAGGGGTTCTCCAAGCAGCTGCTCATGGTGATGCCTTAGGATTTTAGCTTTTTATATTTTTCAAATCCTGCATTAGTACATGACTCTAAAGTCCATATAGAGAGTTAGTTAACTGTCTTCACATCTTAGTCAGACAAAATAACCCATCTAGGACTCAAATTCAAGGACACTCTAGTGACTCAGGCCCTGAAAAGTGAATTGGGGGGCAGCAAACCGGGGGTACATGACTTCATTACCTGAAGGTGTAATAGGAGAATTATGTATGGAGAATCATGCATAATAGATGTGTAAATAGACCAAACTTATATCTGAAAAACTCGTGACCACCATCCATTTTGAGGAGGTTTCATCTGTCCTTAATCTACTTGAAGGCCCTTCATTAAATATATTTACTTTTATTCTCTTAATTCTGTCTGGCCTCTGTTTTTAGGTGAGCCAAGAAAAGGCATCAGTGGAAGAGGAGTCCATGACTGAGGCATCCCTGGGCAGAACTGGCCTGCCAAGAATCCAAGTGCATGCTTGCATTCTACAAAGATTTCTTTTGCAACACTAACAACAGTAGATGAACATTCATTTTTAAAATAAACATATTTTCTTATTATTTTTCTGTAAAAAAGAAGCCAATTCTTAAGTCATCTTATCCTCTGATACAGACAATCATTGTTTACAATGCATTGCCTCTCTGTGTTATTTATGTTAATATAATTTTTTTTTCAGGTGTTTGTTCTTCTAAATCTAAAATTTCTATTCCAAGTAACAGAGGAAAAAAGCCCATAAAGCAGTAGTCTTCCTGTTCCCCCATAAATCTGCATTTTAAACTGGATATTAAAAGTCCAGCAACTAGCAAGAACAGGAAGAGACTAGCTGGCAAGAGGAAAAAAAGGTCTAGAAAACAGACAGATGAAAAGACTTGTTGAATTGATACTTAGAGAAAAAAAAAATTGAAAAAAAAAATCTTCAAGTTGTCAACAAAGAGCAAAGCATAGGAAAGGTGGGGCTGTTACACATTGAAGATGGGGAAGATTAATTTATTAAAATATAAACAATAAATTGCACTCCTACATTTATGGACTATTCCATTTCAGTTTACAACAAATGTACACAAAAGTAAAGGATAAGTACCTAAAAATACAGCTAGGCAAATAGAAATGACAGTAAATTACTAGGGATAGAAATAAGATTAGTTAAAATGAGATTTCTATTTAAGGAAAAAGTAACATGAAGACAGAAGTAGAAGTAGGATAAATGTGATTAATTTAAATCAGATAAAAAGTAGAGGGGTTGGGTAATACAATTTCTGTCAAAGACTGGACATATGAGACAAGTTTCTACCCAAAGATGTCAGAGTAAAAGGAACACTACTGGCATGGTTAACAATAAACATAAAATGCCTGTGGATTTTTGATGAGTAAATATGGACTGGAAGTTTGATTTTCAGTCATTCATTAGAAGTTTTGGACTCTTTTGCAGAGTAGTGAACAAGCTGAAGTTAAACTATTTTAAAATGAAGTTTTAATCTTAAGGAAGTGACTGTATAACCAAATATGAAAAGGTTGAATATAAGCAATGAAAGCAATGAAATTATGTCAGTACACACATGGACATTGTTTCAGTTTTTGAATCCAGATCCTGTATCAAGAGACATGAATAAATGTCCCTTTCCTGTCCTCCATCAGATTAAACCTTTTTGGGATCAGATGCTCACTAAAACTTGTACATAACTGATGCTGACCTCAATCTGCTGTCACCTTCCCAACTGCAGTCATTAAACTCATATTCCTCATGCTGTTTCCTATTCCAGAGCTATAACACAAATACTCACTATAAGGAATCACCCCCATTCATTTACCAACCCTATTTGTCTCTGCTATTTCAGTTATTCACACCTTAGCCAATCTCCAAGCAGTGGTCTCAACAATACAGTCTCCTTTTCCAATCTCCTGAGAAGGTTTATGGTTGTGACAGACATCACTCACCAGGTACCTCTCACATGTTCCTAAAATAGAATTTTGTCTTGCTCCAATGGCCACATGATTTATCAGCTCTGTTCCTAAGACTAATTAAATGATCTACCTCAGATGAAAAATGGATATTAAAAGTGCATGCCCACACTGGCCCATGCACACAGGCAATTTATCCTAATATTAGAATTCATACCAAAAATCATTCTCATTTGTTCACAGACATTTGGGATTCTAATATGGCATAATGTTGCATAACATGTCTCTGCTTATCTGCAAGTCTATTACAAAATAACAATACATCAAGAAATACTCAGAAAGTTAAAAAGATGGAGAATTTAAAAGTACACATAGGGGAAAGTCCAGAAATTGTAGATTTTTATTACAATAAGTAGTTGCAAAGATTTTGTGAGTTTAGAGGAAAGCTTCGAGTGAAGCAACAAAAGAATTTATACACAGTAACCTCGAAGTTAACTTTCTTCTGAATATCAGAGAAAGAGCTATTTCTTATTAGAGGATTATATGTAAGAACAGGACACAATTTTAGTCACAGATGTAGCATTGAATAACCTTATATCCTATAATAATCTACAACAATGTATTCCCAAATAAAATCTAACGAAATCTTACGTGGATATCTATTGTTAGGCAAATACATTTTGAAGGAAGAAAACAGGGCATAAATTTTGGTGCTTTTTTCAACAACAACAAATTTATTTACAAGCTATTCAAATTAGTCAAGATATGGAATTACTTCTTCCAGTTAGTGGGAGAGGCAGTCTGTCAGCTTCTGTCCTGATGTGCAATGAGAGAACAATGAACAATTACAGGCAGATTAACCAGATCCCACACCAAGGGTGGGGTTGCAGAGATATGAACTTACACACAGTATTTATACTGAGAGAAATAGGCAGATCTGCAGACACACTCTGAGGAACACACAAAATTTATCAGGCATAAAGAATTGCAGTTTCTTAAAATATGTTACATCACTTCACTATTACTCAGGAAACTAGGATTGCAAAATAATGCAATGGAGCCAAAATGTAAGTTATTATTAAAGTTATCATTGTGGCCCTGTACAACATTTGCTCAAATCAATCCATACCCAAGGATTTGTTTTTTAAATTACAGTATTCTCCATTTTCTTATATATCAAGTCATTATTTATGCACAGCCAGAAAGTATAAGTGGAGTATATGTATAAAATGCTGCAATTTAAAACTAATTTATCAGTCACTGGTTTGAAAACTCATTCTGCAGAACTGTAATGTGGTTATGTTACATGAACAGAAATGGAAAACCAAACTTCAAAATTACAGTAACTTTTTACAGAGTTGAATAACCAAATAAGCATAACTCAAAAAATTGCAAGGCAAAGTAGTGAATGGATGTAAGAATATAATCAAATAAACTCCACTGTCTCTTAGTATAACAAAGTTAGACAGTAATATGTTCAAGGTTTCCATTTGAAAATTGTTTCTCAGGTCTATTTAACAATATTGAGAGGCTCTACCTAGCAAAAACTTAATGCTCTTTGACCTTAGGCCAGAACCAGATCTATGGGAGTCACTGATCAATCTGACAACCAGACTTTTAAAAAAACTTTCAGGAATGGCAGTTTTTCCGAAAAAGCCCCCATTACTTTCTCTCATCCACCTTTCAGTTCAAACTTTCCAAATTCCTGAGTCACTAGGAAATAATTTAATTCTTTCAACCACTCTTTATTTTGCCACCAGCAAGTTACCACAACGAAGTAAAATATCTTTGCACTGCACTGAGGATATTCCCCAAATAATTTCTGCCTATTCAGCAGCAATCTGGAGTTCTACATAATGAAGAATGCTACATAATCCAGATTTGTTCCTAAATCAGGCCACCTGTCAAGACCACTAACACATTTCAAGAAACAAATTCGACCTAAGATCTTACTATGCCCTTAATTGATTTAAAAATTCCACAACTAGTCATCAAATAACACCTGGCAACAACTACAGTTATTCTCAGATTCTGTAGGACTTTGAACTATTCATTATTGCTATGAACACTGCTTTATCTTTAGTCGAAAGAACTCCTATTACAGAAGTTCTGGTAGATACAGTGGAAGCCAAAGGAAACCAATTGGAAGGACAGATAAAAATTGAAGGATTATGGAATACACAGATCCACTTGTTAAAGAATATAAACTTGACCTTGAGCAATCAGGTTACTGTACTTGCACAGAATTTATTCTCAGAAAATCTCAGATACATTAACAAACAAGGGTTAGGCTGAACATGGGAGCCCCTCATTAAAGGTTTATGAAACATAATTTTATTACTTTGAGGCATTTGTTACAAATACCCAACCTTCATGACATTGTCTTGGTGACATTGTAAAAACTCAAAATGGATATATA